AAGATTCAAGGAAAAGCCATGTGGATGAGCAAAGGTACAGAATGACCTCTGTAAGTCAGCTAGGACTCTTTGGAAAAAGGCACTTGAAGAAGGGAGTGATAGAGGCTCATAAAATGATGAATGCAGTGGATGGAGTGGATAGGAATCAATTCTTCATTGCCCTCACATTATAAAAGCTAAAAAGTATTAAATGAAGCTATTCAGGTGCATGTTAATAATCAACAAAAGGAGATGATTCTTCACCTGATGAGTTGTAGAAGTCCTTATTACTGGATGTTCTACTCGTTAAAAGTTTGAATGAGTTGAAAGGGAGTCTGGACAAGTTCCTATATAAGAAATCCATTGTTGAGAACTAAGTGTGCAAAATTTGCATTCAGCTCAGGAAAGCTCTTTTATCAAAAAATAACGTTCTGGGGAAATACCCCGAATACTTGTCCTTTGGTCCATACCGAGAGCCCACTTTCAGGTAGAAGATGCAGAACTAGAAGTTGCATTGGTCTGATCCACAAAGGCTGCTTTTATGTTAATATATACTATATATTTTTATTCTAACTGAAGTCTTTTAATGAATTTTAGCTAGGTGACAGCCCCTTACTAACAGGCATTATATGCACTTCCCTTCTTGGCTAGGGTTTATTTTTTTGCCAGGGGTGGGCAAAATCCAAGGAAACATCTCCTGATGTTTGAGCTTTACTTTTTTAATAACTATATTAAATACATAACTTTGATTATTTAATAGTGTAGGTGACAGCTCTGGACTTACTGTCTACATGACAGTTTTTATTTACAAATGATGACCTGATCTAGCCAGTCCTGTTGGAACAACTTTGTGAAACAATAATACAGAAATGCAGAGGGGCAGTAGCATATGTGGATCATAGAACAGTAGGATAAGGAAATTTGTGCTTCATCTGGTTAAGTAGTTTTTTTCTGGAGTCATAATGCTACTGTTCAGATCCATTTTTACTTTGATTTTCTTATCTTTTTGTTTCCACTTTTCATTACCATCATCTTAAAAAGACCTTAAACTCTCCCTGCAAAGGTTTCCCTGAGACCAAGTGTTCTTTAGAGAAATAAGCCACAATATGGGAAATAGGGAGGATTCTGAATTCTCATTTCAGCTTTATGACTGATTCACGTGACTTTGAACAAATCATGTAGATATCTGTGCTGTCTCTAAATTGAAGATAACAGCAGCCTTATAGGAATGCTTTTAAAGTATGTAGACTTCTGTGAAGACTTACATTACAATTTATTAGCATTTCTGAAATACTGCTTTAGGGATGGAAAAACATGCTAATGAATCTTGGGTGTGAAGAACTAGTTATGTTTTGTGGTTGGCTTGAAGTGATCTCTCCACAGATTGGAGTACATGGGCTGAAGTGTAGTCTATGTGCACACGGGGTTTATTCTTGCTACATATTTCTCATGGTGCTTCATGAAGAGCAAATGTCTATTTTCACCTAGCTGTACAAGAAAGCCTGTTTAAGGCTCCTGCAGAAGAACTCGGTAGGGGTGACATTGTTTGTTTGATATGCCTAACAGTTTACTTTGGACCCTACCAAGGAGGGGCTGGCCCCCTCTGACCTACCTGTCTGGCAGATGGTGCTGTATCTCCTGGGGCATGGTCCCCCTAATGTGGCTGTGAGAATGCTTGAAGTTACTTTGCTGCAGGAACTGCAGTGCAGCCAGGAGGAAGGTGGGGATGCAAAGCCTAGGTATCGTTCAGACATACATTTGAGATGTTGCCAAATTGTGCAGTGAAATCTGGGATCTGGGAAGCTCTGTATTTTTACAGGTGAGACATACACTAGGGATAGAGACAAATAACAGGTGATTTAAACAGTCCCTGCCCTCCCTTCTGAGTGTTGCAAGCTGAGCGGAAATAAGGCAGAAGTTACTTCCTTTGCCTACATGGTTCCAACAATTTTCTTCCTTACAGATATTTTCTGTGGAAGCCTAAAGTCAGAGAACTTGTGTAGCAAAATAAGTTTTTTCCCGTTCCTAGTAATGAAGTCACACGTATTTATGCACTGTCTTCTAAGAATCCCAAGTAGGAATTAATAATTACAGAGGGGGAAGATACTCATTTTACTGAGGAAGTGGAGACATGATGAATTAAAGGGAATTTCCCAGAATCACAGGAAACAATGTAGAGCTAGAAATGGATTCCATTCGGTTCACTGTTTCAGTCACAGGACCATCCTTTTCCGAGTACCAGATACGTACACAATGCTCTCCAGTTTAGTCTTCACATTAGTTTCCAGTGCTACAATTCAGTTCCTCTGAACTTTGCCCTTTCACTCATTTTAGCAAAAAGGCAAACATCTGCCCATTTGTCTCAATAGTAAGTAGAAACTGCTTTCTATACAGATGATTTCCTCTCCATTCACATGCTTCTCATCCTAGTATTGGAAGGCCAGCCTGTGTCAGCCAGGGCCTGTTTAAATTAGAAACCAAATAATGTTTCAGGGATGCCTTGGGCTGTCTTGTGGAGAGGGTTCTTCTCAACCCTTGCCAGTTACTACTTGGTGGTCCTGCCAATCCTTGCTAAGTTTCAAAACAAAAGTTGCTCAAGCTCGAACAGCGCTGCTGGCCCAGCATACGCAGCTGGATGGCTGGTGAGCTGGGACGCAGTGAGGCCCAGTGCTTAACCAGGCAGTTCACCAAACCATGTAAAGGGACTGGGGAGTGGCACTGTCCTAATTGCTAACATTCCTGCTCTGCAAGACTTCTCCTGATATTTATTTAATAAGCCCAGGATCATAAAACCTCAACGATTTAAGCAGTCAAGTGGTAGCTGATGTGTATATGGACATGACATGCAGCAGACTAAGTGAAGGGTGAAATGCTTAATTTTGGACTTTGCAAAGCTTTATCTGGCAATTGCAGGTGAAGTAATACCTCAGGCGTCTGTGTCCAGGAGTGCAGTATACACTGTGAGTGCCTCAGGAACTGTACTTTGGGCCAGGTTTGCAGAGCCACAGCTCCTTTTTAAGTGTTCATGACCAGTGTGCTGGTGTAGTTTTCTCAGCCACTGTAGAGAAGTTTCTGCTGCTGCCAGTGAGTAATATTCATGGACTTCAGTCTGATGTCTTCTGCCAATGGCTACAAAAGTCAGGGATGTGGTATTGCTCTGTTCTCTGAGGGGTGAAAGGCAGGTTCAGCAGAACTGGGTGAAACATGCCAGCACTTCCACATCCCAGCAACAGATGTTTGTAAATAGTAACGCCTTCACATGTAGAAAGGAGCTGCTGGTGTGGAGGTTTGTGCTTTCTCTTCTGTGGAGCTGTTGCTGAGTATTTAGCATTAAATGGGTGAAAAAAAGGCATCACTACATTCATTAGCATTTCATTTTCAGCTTGTAATGGAGCAGGGACATATGGTGATTGGACCAAGAAGCCTAAGGTTCAAATTGGAAATGAGACTGCTTGGAGTGGACATGGGGCAAAGGAAGAAAAATGAATTTTGGTGAACCTGATCTTCAGGAAAAGTCAGGCACTAGAAGATGGTTTTTATTCAAAAGAAAGAACACCGAAATGTGTGATGTTCCTGTACTTTCTCAAGAAAAAATAAAAGAAGCTTTATTTCAGCTCATCTTTGAAATGCACAAAGGGAAAGCAGTACAGAAAGGGAGAGTCTTTTTGCTGATTGTACTTTCTGTGTTCTCTCATTAACGGTCCTGGGAGTGGTCATTTACCATGTTTGATTCGAAGAGATCCAGCCTGCATAGTTTTAGAGTAACTTTGTTAATGTTCTTTTGGTAACTTCTGCTTATCAGCCTGAGGCTTATTGGCTTTAAATGCATTGTGAGCTGAGTAAATTGGTTGTTAGTGCATTTGCAAACAGTTCAGCCTGATTATATTGATCTAAGCACCAATTTTACAACTTTGCCTGTGGTGCCCTTACAGAAACTGAGGAGGAAGCAGGCAGGCACGCTGCACATACCTCTCTTAGCATGGTGATTTACTGCCTCTATCTGCTGCCTTTTACAGCTGTGTGCTGGCTAATGTCCCTGTCTTGCTGGTTAGTTTGTTTCAACACTGTGATGCTACATCCTTAAGTGTGCAATCTGAATCTGACTTTGCCACCAGACACCAGGACTATGGCTTTTCTAAAGTACTTTTTCCCATTGCCTGTGGTTACCTTGTGCTTAGAAAAAATAGTAGGGGTCACAGTTGGTGGATACGGATGCTTTCCTTTTGACTTACTTTCTTTTTTCTTTTCCTAGCCTGTGTTCTTTGACCACTTTCCAAGGCTTCTCTTGTGTATGTTTTGACATGGCTTGATAGCTGAAAGCTTTACTGTAAATTATTGGTTTTGACAGTTACATAGTGATATTCCACCCTCCCATAGTATCCTCTGACCTACTGATATCAGAATGCACAAAGATACGCCTGAAATGTCACAAAAGAATTCAGATCACATCTAGTTACAAATTAGTTCAGATAAACAGTGTAAGCAGAGTACAGTATCTCAAGCAGAAATGACAAGCACCACTGATTAGAGTATTTATATTGAGAAAGGGTTTCTGAGTTAAGTTTAATACGTGAATCCTGATTATGGAGCCAGTGCATTTAAACAGTAAAATGTAACGACTTGCTGTTATTCCGTAAGCTACCAAGGTACATACATAGATGGATTCAACTAATATATATAAACAAAATAATGGATATTGGGATGGAAGGCTGAAGGGAATGGATGGAGGGAATAAGGAAGGTGAGAGGAGGACAGCTGCAAGAGTTAAGCATCTAAACAGAGATACCCTGAAAAGCACCTGGCTATGGTGGGTCCAGTGCAGGCTGAATAATGGATTCTTTTTTGCTTCAGAACAAAAGGAAAAAGGGGCCATGTGGCAGCTTACACTAGTTGGTGTATGGGAGACAATGGTTTCAGAGCTGTATCATCATCTCCTTTGTTTTCTCACTAGTTCATATGTAAGCAGTATAAAAATACCATCTTTAACCTTGGCTGAAGGTTTATGTTAATGTTTTTTTCAGGTGGAACTTGCAGAAATTTGCACAAAGAGTGAACGTTACATTGGCACAGAAGGTGGAGGAATGGACCAGTCGATCTCTTTCCTGGCAGAAGAAGGAACTGTATGTGGATCTTTGTAATCTAAACTAACAATGTAATATTAATGTATGTTCACAAAAATACCTTCATATGTATCTGGCAGAAAGACAAGAAACTGGAATACCTCAGTGTTGGTATGCAAATGAAACAGGAATTGTATAAACTTGTGTACAATGGAATATGACAAGTTTGAAAGAGTAAGATGATGAAAATGAAAATAGACAAGAAGGAGGAAAGAAGAGCTGTCGGGAAAGCTGTACTCAAGAAGACCACTAGGCTCCACACCATTTGGCTGATTGATCACTGAACTTTGAATGTGTGAGATGTAATGAAGTCTGAATGGTCGGTATGTCTTGTATTCAGTGCAAATGGGATAATTATTACAAAAATGCTTTCTTGAAATGTCTTATAACCAAGAAGTTCTAGGAAGTTTTGCCAGGTTCAGTTGCAAAGACAATGGGGATTTTTTTTCCCCAGTTTTGCTAATTCCAGACAATTCTGTGGCTGGATTCTGATGCAGAAGGCATTTAGCTGTCTTAAACGTGGTGACAGAAGGTGGACTAGCAATGATAAACAGGACCTGCCAAGTTATGCATGAGTGCTTGCAGTGGAATTTACCATGGAGTTCATCCACTGTCCCAGAAGGTGCACAAGACTGTGACTGTTCAAACCTAAAACTTGCCAAAATACTTGTATTGAAATCAGTGTAGCGTTTCATGACATTTACTTACTTTCCTTATAACTGTGCTATTCAACATCTACAGCTTTCATTCCTTAATGCCAGATCTTGTATGAAATAAGTTATTTCCTAGATTTACACCAAACATTTAATTCTATCATGAGACATATGTTGTATTCAGTTTCACATCTCCTGTACCTACTTTAGACCTTTCCTTCATACTTTATACTGTTAGTAGTAAACACACAGCTACATAAAAACTGAAGGAAGCAGTGTGTTTTCCTGGCATACACAGAGATGATCATAAAGTGGAGGCTTTTCTGGTGTATTGAGGTGGGGATCAAAAAGGCAAAGAAGATGTTAGAAAAGAAATTGTGAACACACCTGAAGGTGTCCTTGTTCCAGTATACTTGCAGCTGAATGCACTTCTGGCCTCCCATCTGAAAAAAAGAAAAAGAATGTGAAAAGTACATTCAAGGACACTGAGCTTGATCAAAGCTGGTTTTTTATATGAGCATTGACTAAATAATTTAACACTTTTCAGCTTGGAAAGCAAGTATCGTTGCAGGTGTATTCTGAAGCTCTGTAAAACCCCTGAATGGTCAAGAGAAGGTAAATTGAGAATTCAGGGTTTTTCATAGTGGAAGAACTAATAGAAACACAACGACATTAGCAAACAGCTTGTTAAAAACAAACAAGGAAGTCTGGGGTTTTTTTCCCCAAAACCATTCATTGTTAAATAGAGACATATTGTATGTCGTGGAAAGCAAAAGGGTTCAAAAAAAGACCTTTCTGGATACTCTGATAGAGTTCTAGCCTATTTGTAGCTGCTAAACCTAAGTCTGATGTTTCTTCCAGTGTGAGTGTAACTGCCATAAAATTCACTTATAGGAAGCTGGAAAAATATACCCCAAGAAAAAGATTGCTTTGTATCTGTCCCATTTTTATATTCCCCCTAAATATCCATTTATGGCTTCTGTCAGAAATGGGACACTTGACCAGCTTAGTGGTACATTCTGATCTAATGTAGCAATTCTGAAAGGGTATATTTAAATGTAAGCAAGCTTGTCTGTCTTGATAGTAGTTTTGTGACGTGGTCCAGAATCTCAGTGGCAGGGACTAACACACATGCTGTACATAATGTACAAGCGGATTTGTCATTGTTTATTTAGCACTCTAGCTGCTCAAGGAACTCTCTGGGGGTGAACAATGCCAAAACCAGTAAGACATCCGTGCTTGCAGAGTTACAGTCTATTCTAAGAAGCCAAAGCAGGGCACATGATTTACAGTTTATCCCAATGAAAAACCAGATGTGAATTTAATCTCTTGATTACATTACATCCTGAAATATTTAATTAATGGATGCCTAGCTTATTCCATGAAAAGGTCGCAAATGTTGGGAACATCTTACGCAGCCATTGTAAGGCATCTGTGAGGCAAGGCAGTCTCATGTCAGAAGGAAGGAAATCAACTACAGTTTGCTATATAGTTTTATTTTACTTCTCTGTTTGACTGCCTATATGTAACATGATTACCGTCTCCAGTCAGTCTTAGAATTTTGGTACTGTACTGTACCTCAGTGGCCTAATTGTGATTTAGTGGAAAGGCAGAAAGCTAAGGGGAAGATGGACATTGGGAAATGGAATGTGAAGCCCCGTGTTTCTAGTGGCATGCACATTAGCTTCAGCCAGGCCTGGTACTCTTCTGTAGATCAAAGAAAAACTGTTGTCTTGAACAGGCAAGAAAAATAGGTTGGGTGGGGTTCTGTGAAATGCTGAAAAAACCCGAAGACTTAATGGAAACATTTTAAAATCCAGCTACAAGGGGAAGGTTTGAAATGTATGTGTAACTTGGCCAATGAGGTTAGAGCTCTTTTCTCGCTGTTTCATGTCAGTTTTCTTGCCTTAACTGTCCCTGGATTCTCAAGAGGAAAAACATGCAAATTTGCATTTGATTTATAGAACTAAGTGCACTGTTAGCTAGTAGTAAATTAAAACTAACCATTCATTTTTCTTTCAATAGGCCAAGTTGATAAAGTTCAGTCCTCTGAGGGCAACTGATGTTAGACTTCCAAGTGGAGCAGCGTTTGTTATTGCTAACAGTTGTGTTGAAATGAACAAAGCAGCAACTTCTCATTACAATATTAGGGTAATGGAGTGTCGTCTGGCTACAAAGGTAACATATGGTTTATGTCAAACTCTAATGAAACCTTCATCTAAAAAGTGCCTTTTTTCACTTCTGACCGATCATATCTTTAACACCTGGCTAGGTGCTACTTTAAGTAGCATTTTTCTTTCCAGAACCAGACACGTCCATCTCTGCAGAAACAGAACTCCTGCTGAGTTTAATGGATGTGTAGAGACTGTGCCCTTATATAGAAGATTATGCAATTTAGCTCTATTAAATATATTTTGTATTATATGTCAATAGACAAAGTAAGTCTACTTTTCAGCAAAAAATATTCTCAGTTAAGAAGATAGACTGTTTCTAATTAAAGCTGAATAATGACAAATAATGGAAAGCAACCAGTGTGGTCACACGTTTATATATGGCAATAGATGTGTATTTTCTAGGATTTAGAAGACATCAAAGCTGCTAGTTGGAGGCCTGGAAGTAATATTGGAAATACTGAATAGCAGCATGTATGTCAGTGCAAACTTTAAAACCAGGCTTGAATCAAACCCCAACATTTAGATTGTGCTGCCAGTTTACAGCTTGCAATTAGCTCTAAAATGAACGGAGTCTGAACATGAAAAAATTAAGTTCCACTTTAGTTCTGGATTCTGTAGATGATACAGTTAAGAATATGCAGGTACAGTGTTTTATTTGAATTTGTTACAGGAATATGGTGAATTTTCCTTTGATTAGATTAAGTGAGGAGCAAGCATAAAGCTTCAGTGCAGTTATACCCAAAATAGTGTGCTGTGTGAAAGAACAGGATTGGGTCACAAAGCCTAGATGGAAGTTTTAAACACTGCAGCATGGCACTCCTTGCCACAAAACACCCAGAATTGAAGCAGTACTCAAAAGTACTTTGAACATCTGGTGGCATCATAATTCTATGAAAAATTACTGGAGTTAATGCTGAAAGAAAAGAGTTAAGGTGCTCAGATACTGACAAAATGTAATATAAAATATCATGTTGAGATATCTTTTGAGGATGGAAGCTAAACTTCAAATGACTTTTTAAATGGGCTTTAAGCACAAGTGTAAAGAACATAGCTGCATTGTAGGTGTATGTAAGATATAGCACGAATAATAGCACCAATGACCAGGGTTAAAGCTGTCACTGAAGTTCATTAACAGATTCTTACACCATTAAGAAAGATAAGGACGTGTCTGTGTGTTGGTTCTGGTGTAACTGATAAGCCTCTAATTTAGGAGAGTTAATCGACTAAGTAGGTATTTTAGCAAGAGCTTCTTTTGGAAGTTTTTTTTAGGTAAGAACTATGGAGCCTTCACAGAAGATTTATTCTAAACAAAAAGCAAACTAGAACAATACATGGAGCTGTAAAATGTTTTGAACTATTGCTCCATAGGCCAGGCTTTGTGAATTGAATCACAGTTTTCTAAATTGCTTGCAATGATTGGTTCCATGCAATAAACTGAAAAGGTGTTAAGGAAAGATAATTGTTTTTTAACACTCCTGCTAGCTATGATGCAATCTCCAAAGAAGTGCCTTTAGCAGATGCTTGATTTTAAGGAAACTAACAACATACACCTGCCTATTTTTACACATATGCTACCCAGATGGAAAGCTGCACACACTATAAAAATACACTGAGCCAGGAAGAAACCCTGTGTTTAGGAACAGGTCACAGTGGGGTGAAAGAGGGCAGGTATGTAAGTGGAAGCAGGGAAGTTTTTTAAGCACCATTACGCTAATGGAACTATGAAATAACCTGCTGGGCCTCGCAGTAATGCTTTAAAAGAAATTCTCATTGGTAAGTGGACTTTTTTCCCCTTTCTGCTTCAGGTCATTCTAGAATTTCATACTGTTTGCAGGAAGCTCCATATAAGTAAAGATGCCAGCCAACACAACATATCCCTGCTGGCATTAACGTAGAATATTTTGATGTTACTCTACCCTACAGCAAGTAAGCTCTTGATCATCCTCACAGTATTATCTTTCTCTGGTTCTGTTCCTTTTCCTTCCCTTCTGGATGATCATTCTTTTCATTATTAGGATTGTTTCTTTCTCTATTCTTCTTGTAGCCTCCAAGTGCTTTCCTGTACTCTGATAGTGTGTTTAAAGACATTTATGTTCTGCAGAACACTCACTATTCCAAAGGAAATTAACTTGCACTTCAGAAAACTCTCACAGTAGGTGCTGCAGGATGAACACGAACATTAGCGAATGCTGTGCTCTCCCCTGCTTCACTGTGTGTGGTTCGCTTCACTGTCAGCTACAGAGTACTGCCAAGAATGTCTGCAACTGCAATGCCATATTGTTAATCAACTCATGTTTGTTAAATGCGGAAAGATGCTCTTATGTAGAAATGTCAAGTGTAAGAAAGATGTTGCTATATAAGTATTCCTATATGTACTCCTAGTCAAATTTTATTTATATTTGTGCTATCATTTACTAAGCTTGTTTTCCTCTCAGCTGCTAACACTTCTACAGTGTGCCTGTGTTGAACAATAAAGCATACAGGTGCTATGTTCTGACAGTTAAGAGCCAGCTGCATGATGTCCACACCTTTGATCCACGCAGTCAGAGATCATCAAGAAAATATCCAACTGGGGGATCAGTATTGGGATTACTCCTGTTCATTAAACAGATGGGATGTTTTTCCCATTTCTGATCTGTGTCCCTTACAATTTGAGCCGCTGCAGCTAGACTGTTTTCACAAACCATTTCTGGTGCTTGTAACACTCCCAGGTGCTGCTATAAGCAGGATAGACCTTTCCAGCTAAGCCCTGCCCACTGGCCTGATGGGGTCAGTTTCCATTTGGAACATTTGGCCGGTAAATGCCCAGCAGTTACTTCATCTAAGATACAGCATCTCCCTTGAAATATAGAAACAGGAACAGATGTGACAATACCTGTGACAGATTTCTACATGGGATTATTTATTTTAAGAAGTATAAAATTTTTCGTTGCCTTATAAACCAGTTTATTTGTAAATTCTTAGTTATGTCTCACTACTGGCAATAATCTCTAGAGGATGCTCAGTATTAGGATTAAAGTATGAGGGAAAAAAATCCATTCATTGAGCACCTTGAAGCAGATTTAAGAACGTGTCACAAACACGCACCAACATAAGAGATAGTATTTAAGTAAAACAAAGAAAGCCGTAATTGTTATTCTAACTTACCAGTAAGCAAGCTAAAATACAATTACGTAAATGCTATGGAGTTCTAGCTATTCAAAGCCTTTGAAAAGCAGACCAGAAGTGACTTAAGCAGTCCTTACAAGAATATTTTCTCCCCCTGCTTTCTGCATTTGCCACGAGTGCTTCTTCCTCTACCACTGAATATACAAAACTGTGTTTTAGACAGCAACAGAGTCATATGATTAGGATTTTGATTGGATTTTGTTTGTTCTGCTCTACTAAGCCTCACATAAATCTTAGCAAGTCACTAGATGGCACCAAAAGTAGTTAAATTTTATATACTGCAGTAAAGCAAAACTGGAAGAGCTCTGACATAACAACATCCATGGAAAAGGATAAATCACTCATGTGATACCACACAAATAATACCAGCAACATCTGATTTGAGGGAAGAATATCTGTCATTCACAGACCTTTTATAAATAAATATAATGATTATCTGCTGTGTACTGCTACAGAAGCAAATAGCTTCTGATGGTTCCCAAGTAAGGAGTGAAAAGAGCAAATGGGTCTTAATGGTGCTTATGAACAATTAAATAAACAGGAAGGCTCAATATTTTCTCTTTTATTATCTGAATTTTAGCTTCTTTCAAAGTCTAAAGGCTTGGACTGGGAAAAAATGTTGAGACTCCAAGATGTGCAAAGCAGGCTAGGAGTTAGCCTGGAGGAAATGCTGACCATTGTCGAGGAGGTATTACATCCTGAGCCTTACAGCGCAGAGGAAATTTGTAAATGCCTGGGAATTAGCCTGGAGGAGCTCCGCTCTCAGATCCTGAGTCAAAACACGCAAGACGGTAAGCATATATGGAGTGGTGGGGTTTAGTGTGCGATGTGTGTGTTACATAAAAAGTTTATGTATTAATAAGTAGTGCAAGCGAAGTGTTGCCAGAATACTTCCCCAGAATTTTGGGTGGCCAGGGAGAGACCTGATATCATGATTTTCATTTTAGTTTTTAACTTGGAGCAAAACTGGGATTTTGATTGAACTGTTTCTAAAATAGCAGAAGTAGCAGATCACTTATTGTTTCAGATGAGCCTGTGCTGACTGAGAGTTGTCTCTAAATAACCCAGGTTTTATTCTAGGGAAAGGTCTAAATTAGGCTTCCTTTTTTAGGCAATAGCTCTAATAAAGCCAGACACTTTGGATAGTTACAGCGTCGTTAAAACGACTCCTGTTTGCTCTCCCTTAACTGGTGTTAGAAAACAGGATAGATGGGCTTTTGTTTCTGTTTTTGAATTGGTAACTACATGATCACTTCATAGGACATGCTATGGGTAGCAAGACATCTAGGTCTCTCCTAGAGAGAGAAGTTTCTGTCACTCTCAGTACTATTTCTTCTTTAAGGAAGACACTGGTGGAGATGTGAACAATTTACTATTTAAAAAGTATTTCCCATGGATTACTGCTTATGATTATACCATGCACTCGTATGGAATAATCATGAGCACTGGCACACGTGGAATGGATCCTGAATGCATATAGTAGAGTTGCTAATATTACTGAATAATAGAGCATTTATGAAATAATTAATTTACGTTCACAACAGGTTCCCAGTTCTGACCAGAATCTTTCTTTAAGAATTTAAAATAACCCTTACTTCCTTGTTTCCATTCTGTAACCTTAATACCTCCACTGTTTTGCAGGTGAATTATATCCTTGCCACTCCTTCCCAAGACCACTTTCAGGGACACATGTATTTGATGCATATAAACCAGTAACATATCTATGGGTACTTGTGCTTATATTTAAATAATCTGTATATCTGGAACAATAGTAAACTACATATTGACCAAGATCAGGTCCTGAATCTAAAACATATTTTGGATCTTGGTGGTATCGGAGAGCATCCAACTATCTTATTGCCTAATTACACTGCCAGAGGGTACCAGGATAGAAAATGATGTCTTAATCCAGCCTTTTATCTCTGTAGAAAGAGTTATGGTAACTCTGTGCTGTATGTACATGAGGAATATACCGAACCATGTACCTGCACACTGCAGTGTTTTCATGGGAAGCTACAAGGTTGTGTATCTTCTACGCTGTCCCCTTACTCTCCCTTCATGAATCAGTGCGAGACTTATTAACTTACAGATATTTATAATCCTTATACCTGGTTTATAAAACAAAATTCTACAGTTCTGTAGAATTGAATTGTTTATATAGGTGGGTTTTTTTGTTTGTTTTTTTTCCCAAAACCCAAAGTCTGGATAAAAAATTTAAACATAAAAGCTATAGGAGAAACTCAAATGGAATTTCATACTGTGGCTCTGAACAGCACTTGCAGATGTTTGCTGAAAAGAATCTCTTAAACCTGCATGACCCTGATTCCAGTTGATAAGACCAATTAAAATGGGTTATGCCAAAGTCTCTTTGCATGTACAATATAGAATTAAGTAACAGATTTCTGTAAAACTATATGCAAAAAAGAAACAAGACACAGAAAGGAGGACTCTAGATCCACTGTTTTTGTTACACACCAAACCAATTACATGTTATGTTGTCTTTGGGAAACTAGAGGCTGTTTGACAAAAATATTGTTCCTATTTCCCCTCTACTTTCCCACTATATTTTAATGACAATGCCTGGCTGCTTCATGTGAGAGAAACATACTGACAACTAGAGAATCTCTGCAGAGAATTTCGGAATGCTGTTGAACCACTTTGTTCAACATGAAGAACCATAACATTTAGAGTATCTTTCTTCCTTTGTATACCTTTTATCACTTTTTGTTACCATTTTATCAACTTTTCTGATAAAATCTTATAACATTAAGGGTGAAGTGTTTGCATGAGAATTACTGTTTAGATGATTTACTGGATTCTGTGTTTTCTCTGTGGCTGAATGTAAATTGTCAGCAGTTTTAATTTTTTGTATTATTGAAAGCTCAGTGACTGCTACAGATAGTGTTTTGTACTGGTATTGTCTCATGTTTAAAGATCTGAAAATGCTACATAAATACTGTTTTAGCCTTAAGCCTAGCTTCCCTTCCTCTACTCCTCCAGTCATGGTACTGTACACTTATATAATATTTTATAAATGTACAACTCTAAAGCTCCCCATCCCAAGGAAAAATGGCATGGACAGGTTTTGGGTAAGTCTCAGACCAGCTCTGCATCCCTTTTATAGACAAGTACTTGAGGATTTCTGCAGTTCCCTACTGTACAGGCCACTTGTTCCCCAGGTCTGGAGAAGTACAGATAGTGCATAAAGCCTCTCTAAACTTTGTGCAGTAGTTCCTTGGCCAACTCAAAATCCCGAGTTTCAATCTCCCTTGCAAACGTTTACACATGGATTGCACTTGTGGCTTCTGAACATCTCTAGAAAAATAATATTTATTACTTTCTAAGGTGCACTGTGCCATAATTTTGGCTTGGACTTGAGTGCTTCACAGAACATTTAGTGTGTGGTGACTGTGGGACATTAAGTATTTATAAGCTTCACCGCAAAAGGATATTCTTCTGTAAAACACTGTATTCCTTTAACCATGGAGTGGTTTTTTTCCTTCTTAAATGAGATATTTTTAAACCCATTTTTCCTTTTCATGTATAAAACTGTAATCTAATTTTGACATATGAACCTGGGAATGAAATCGCCATGGGAGGAGCAGGCATCCATTTGCTGTGTGGATTTGGCTGTTTAACTGCTCTCCTATCTCTGCCCTGGAAAAAGAACTCTAAATCTGTGCTGTAGCCTCAGTGAGTGGTGTTTGAGTAGCCTTTCATTCCCACTGCCAAATAATTTGTATTAATGGTGAGCTCAGGGCAAGAACAGTTTCCACTCTATTTGCGCAGACAGGCGTACGTGAAGGTGGACTCTCAAATGTTCTGTCAGGCTGCTCGGTGATACATAAAGGTCTGTTGTGTGCATTACATAAACAGAAGTTACCTTCAAACTATTAGACCTTAGAGCACTTCCCAGCTTGAAGGTCTAGGTGCCTACTCCAGCCTCAACCATCCCCTTCCATAACAACATGGTTTACTAGGGATGAGCCCCAGAGAGGTGGCTGCTCTAAGCAGATCCCGTACAGCTACCTGGAGGCTGCCAGCGTTTGGGGTGAGCCACAGGTTAGGCATAGGCACTGACTGCTCTAGGTTAGTTGCAAAAGTCTTGCTGGAGCTAGGATTCCTCTGGATGAAAAATCACTTTAAACCAGTAGTTACCATAATCTCAAAGCAGGTGTCTGCTAAATGGGTCACTGAATCCAGCAATGACTCGTCTCCTGGTTTATTTTCAGAAAGCCAGATTGCAAACAGTTACTTGAGCAGTCCCAGCAGAGTAACTGTTCCCCACTTCAAGTGGGGGGTTCACAATCTGGCTCAAATTAAAGCCATCTGGCAGCATTTTCTTATATACATTATGAGCCAGAAACCTTCACCCTCATCATGTTCAATCAGCAGGATGCCTAACAGAGAAGGGTACTATTCCACATGAGTAATGGTGGTAGAAACTGTCCCCTACATGATTTTGCATCGGTGAGTTTTTCCTGTTGTAAATTTCTAACAGTCCCATCAGCCATGTGTAGCTCATTAATCTACACTGAAACACATCTTTAGCTGCCAAAGCAACTAGAAAAAAATATATAGCCTGAAGAGGTTGGTCTTTAGCTAAAGGTCAGATAGAATTGTACAGGAAGCCTCTAAAGAAAGGAATCTGCTGAAGTTGAAGTTGTAACAAATAGTATGAGTTGCTGAGAAGCCACAATGCTTAATTATAAAGAAAAAAAGTCCCTGTAAATGGAGTGGACAGGTTTGCACATTTTTTGTAAAGCTAAAATTAAAAATATGACCATACATTTGAAAACCCACAGTAAAACTTTCCTGTAATATTTAATTAACCCACAGTTATTTGGGACTAATGGCCCAGGATTTTTGTTTGGTTTTGAGAAATTTTTTTATGGATTTTGGACAACCTTTCATTAATGTTAGTTTGCTGTATCTTAGCAACTTGGAAAGCTCTTGCTGCAATGTGAGCTATTAGTGCACTAGAAAATGTCACTGTTTCTTTTAAGGGCATGCGGTGGTTTGTAAGTGAACTGAATCTGCCTGTTTGTGGATAACATTATAGACCCTCTGCAGAAGAGCAAAGCTAGGCAGAGTCAGCAAGAGTTACTGACATGCTCCGAAAAATAGGTGAGAGCTGGTAATACAAAGCAGGTAACAGTGGAGGAGATTCCTTGTAGAAGATTCATTGTGTCCTCTTTGAAACTTCAGAAACACAGTTACAGAGGCTGTGACCTGGAAGGTGGATTAGATGCTCCTGAATACAGGTGAAACATGTTAAAACCCAGTGATATAATGTCAATAAGAGCAGGCCCAGGTATAAGATTCCTTGTCCTCCTTAAAATTTTCTTTGGTCTCATTTTGACTTTTCAGGTGGACTTTAATTTCTTCTGATCTGTATCTCTTTCAATCCTTAAACAGTGTTACTCACCACCACTTGAGTACACGAGAAACCTTTTCTGTGTGCAGCTGATACCGTACAAAATAAATTCCTATCTCCCTACCTTCTTTTGGGGAGGGGACAAAAGAGACCCTGAGATTCTGACTGTGTGTGTCTAGGTCTAAAGTTAAAGGGTTTATTCCTGCATGGCAGTGAGCTATGCAGAACACGGCAGAGAGGAAATGCATAACGATTTTCAAAGAACAGTTTTTGAGAGCGTGATTCTGGTCAGAGACCAGATCCTAGCCAATACAACTCTCCATGAGTCCAAATGGCACTACATCATTTTAAACAAGCAGAGCACCTCCACTGGGTATCATACGGATCCACTCAGAGAGAAAACAATACTTCAGCCATGCCCTAGAACAACTGCTCTTACCTCAGTGTGGCAGCCAGCTACTTTCATTACACCAGAGCTTTTAGGTTCCTCTCTAATCACCAGAGAGACTGGTACCGCAGGGCAATCTAGGTCTCATGAGGGATAAATGGTTCCCTAATCTGCCTTTTTCACTGACAGAAGATGGATTTGAGGGTACCTATACCCCCTAATTCACAAATAAATTTAAGGGGGAGAAACCAAGCCTTTAGAGTTTACTGGATTAGGAAAGTATATTTATTGCCCAGAGAAGCTGTGGCTACCCCATCCCTGGCAGTATTCAAGGCCAGGCTGGACAGGGCTTGGAGCAACCTGGTCTAGTGAAACCAAAGTTTCAAGCCCCAGGTGCCCCTGGCAGGGAGTTGGAATTAGATGATCCCTAAGGTCCCTTCCAACCCAAACCATTCTTTGACTCACATTTTCAGACAGATTAAGTATCTAATTTCCATACACTACAATAGGTTTAAGGATTGATATGCTTTTAATAATCTGGTATTGGTTCCTTACACCCTGCTTTTTTGCCCTCCTTTGAATACCACAGAGGGTGAGACCATATAACCCCGTCCTGTGCAACACTGGAAAGTTTACTTTGAGGGCTTCAGTTTGCTTCTTTCAGCACACTCCTGCCTTAGCTCAGATATAAACTAATCAGTTGTGTGCACTTTGGTTGTGTTTCTTTTAACTGTGACAAAGTATGGCTTAAGAATTCAGTCCTTTTTAATTGTATGCTCTTTGGCATGTCCTATTAGTTCAGATTTTACTTACGTGGAGCTAATATACAGGCTGTGATGTAGCAAGGAGATTCCAATATAAGTGTAATTCTTGGAAATACAATGCTATCTTTTATTATATAGAGATGGTTAGTTGGACTTCTCCTCCAAACAGAAGAGATACAAGAAGGTTTTTCTATTACCAGAGACATTTAAGCATTGAAAGCCAAAAACGTGAACCATTTCATTATTTTAGAATAATACTTAGGGAGTACAGAGGTGTTTGCTGTGCTGACAGTAATTTTGCCTGAAGAGCCTACTGCCAGAGAGGAAAAGCAAGCTATAAAACAAGGCTTTTGAAACACAAGTGGAATTTCCTGAAATAATACACAGCTGATAACCAACCAATAGCTAAGGTAACGATACCAGCCTTTAAGTGATACACATTCAGTGAACATCCACAAAGGAGTGTGGAAATAATGTACAGCTGCACTTTCTTGCTCAAGAACTGCCTGAAAGGATTGGCAGCCACAGAAAGCCGGTGTCAAGGTAGCATGTTCTCCCCTCCACAGGGTGCTCTCCAGGGAGCTAGTGCCATCAAGGACATGGCTCAGATCTTCTGGCTGGCAGCCAGTTGCTGGAGCACCCGTTCGGGTTTGCCAGTTCCCAGCATGACAAGCACAACACAACCCCAGCAGTTCTGAAGGTAATCTGGCCAGTGGAGCATTGCTTTACCAAAGGGTGGTCTCCGAATCAATCACAGCCTTTGGCAAGTCTGTTGCCTGACAATTGAAACCAGACATGTTTTCAGTTCATTCTTTGGGTTACTACTGTTCAATGGTGATTTACAAGAGAGTGTGAGCTATGGCAATCTCTCACGCAACGTTAGATATTCCCTAAACGAATGCACATTTAGAAATCTCCTTGCTCTGAAACAATGGCTTATAAGAAAAGAAAATTTAAAGAGAAACCATCCTTAAAAATAGGCCAAGCTGCCTTTCTTCAACATTCAAAAATAGCAAGGCAGTGCTCTGCAAAACACAGTGCAAATGACTGCAGCAGCAACACATCCAGTGGAGTAAAACAGACCTCTAAATGGGAACCAAAGTCTGCTCTTCCCGTGTGATACTCTCAAGGCGATGTTTCTTGAGGGCACTCAGTTTTCTCTTTTCTGTCCTAGCTTGAAATGCACTCGGAAGGCCTGCTCAAAGACAGCAACACAGGGCTTCTCAGTAGCAGGCTGTATCAGATTACAAAATAAATATCACCAGTAGCAGAACACTGCTATGTTCAGTGTTTATCATTTTAGACTGCTTGTGTCTCAGCACCATATTTTCAGCATTTACAGTTGTGAATTACACTTGATAATGGAGAAATAAGGGATTATACAGGTGCTGATGAAGTTTTAGTTTTTGGGTTGCAGTCTGGAGTACACATATAAGAGGCTTGGTAGTGGACACAGTTTTATTTCCAGTGTTTCAAGGAAGATTTCTGCATACACTTGCAATTGTAGATTGCTGAAGTCATCAGAAGTGGTTCCAGAACTTTGCTGTCTCCACAGAGCAATCAAGTAGGAACTCCATGTGTCTGGGTCAGATCATGAGCTCTGTTTTGAATACAGGGCTTGTCTCTCTTCTTTTACCTCTATGTGAGTATTTCATCAGCCATTTCAGAAAGCAAAAGAGGCCAGGAACTGAAATGAGGAAAGAAACCTTGCTCTAAAGGAGAATTTGTGTGTGGAAAGAAAATGAGAGATGCTCTGTGCTGTGATGAAAAGGCAAGATGCTGCCGTGGGTGTCCCCCATAGAGAATAAAGTGCTCTTATCTAACATTTACCGCCCAAACAGCTCAAGCAAATCAATTTAATCATAAATTAAATTATGTCACACATGCTTCTGGTGAACAATACTTCCTCAATAGCAGCCATGGTACTAAACCAAACAGAACTATACTGGGAGAACATAAATGATGAACTGCAACATGAGCTTGAGAAAGGCACATCAGTTCTTGGGTATCAGTCACAAACCAAACCTTCCTGTAAATAGGCGCAGCTTGAGGAGCCTTTAACCACAGCCATCCCCCTTCCCACTCTTCAGGCTTGGTGGAGAGGTCTGTACTCTGATGGCCATGCAGGTTCAGGCACACCCTATGGTATCCCCATGCTCACTCTTCCCAGATGAATTACTTTTTCATGGCACAACTGAAGTATTTTTGCCCAAATCCTTGCATTTGATCTCAGCAGGTAAATACTAAGCAATACCTGTGTGGGCTCAACATCTCTTCACCTCCACACAGGCAGCACTGACACTCCGGCTGGTAATACACACCAAAAATAAACCCTGAAAACCAAACTGACAGCACCTGTGCTCTGTGCTGTACCTGTAATCTAGTGTTATTTACAGTCAGGGTGAGCCTGCACCACTGTGAAAATATTTGAGAGGGCTTGCTTATGAATGCACCAGGAAACAGGGATAATAGCAGTTTTGTTAACCTCGGCTGCAAGAAACAAAGACAGAAAGAAGTGTTTGATGTTTCTGTGGTTTGGTGGTTGATTTTTCAAGAAAAGGTCCACTGGCACAGTTAGATAATTGATGTGGACTTAGCCTGGAGCAGTCACACACAGCACCCTGCTGCTGGGGGCCTTTCTGGTGATCTCATGACTCAGTTTTGCTGGTATTTGGAGACCTGAAAGCTTTAGATTAATGCCCCAGTGCATGTCACTGCTAAGTTGAACTTCTGGCTTGCCTCTGCAAAGTCAGAGGAGAGACTGGGTCTCTTTGATGATTCAGCAAGTAACACAAGCATGTGCATGAAGTTATGAACATGAAAAAAAATGTGTACATTGTATTTAGATGATCTCTAAAGGGCTTTGAAAGAAGATGTAGGTGAGCTTTTGCAGAAGACTTTCAGCCCAGGGAGTTCTAATATAGAGTATGAATTACTAAAAAAATACAATTCTGCTATGCTTTTGTATGTTCCTTTTGTATTGAATATTAATGGATAACTGTGATACTTTGTGTTTTCATTTTGCTTAGTATCCACCTTTAAGTTGTACCAGCGTGCAAAGCATGTGTACAGCGAGGCTGCGAGAGTGCTGGAATTCAAGAAGATATGCAACGAAGCACCTGCCAATGCGCTCCAGCTGCTGGGAGAATTAATGAACCAGAGCTATATCAGCTGCAGGGAGATGTATGAGTGCAGCTGTCCTGAACTGGATCGCCTGGTAGACATCTGCCTGTAAGTTCTGACCACAAGGAAGAGTAATCGCCTATTGAGAATATTGTTTGAACTGATGAGAAAATATGACATCGCTGGCTATTGCAATTTTAAAATGAAAGTATTCTTGTCTCTTATTACAAAATTAATCTCCTGCAGGGACATTACATGGTCAATTGTTTCCCTACTGACATGTGTGTAATGTTTTCAGATGAAAGCTGCAGTTTATGGCTTTATTACAGACTCTGCTTTTGGGCTGACTCATCGTCACAAGTGTTACGTTAGACTGTTGGCTCTTCTTTTTTTAAGCTGTAGAAGTCATGACTGGTTTTCTTAAAACATTATCTTAGTTGTTCTGTTTGAACACTGGTACTTTCGGGGTATTTCTTAACCATTTCAGAACTGTCACTGTGGGAACAGCAGAAACTGTTAGACATTCTGAGGTTGCCTTGAACTCATAATGGCATATTGTGAAATGCTATTGCATTTTTTTTTCTATTAGAAACATACGTTTGTCCAGGGTATCAGGTTGGACAGTATTTCACCATTCAAAAGGTGTATGAGCTGTTGTAATGGCCAACACTCTACTTCTGCTTTCCACATTGTGTGTCTGAGCTTTACCCACATTATTCAGCCTCTGTCTCTGCACAAACCTCATTCTTTTAGCTGGGTACCTTAACTGTTCATAGTGAAACAAGCCTTCTAAACTCCCAACCACATTCACTGGGTGTCATTTTCTCCCTTCTCTTCTGCCTGTATTCCTCCTCAGTTTCATATCCTCTAGCCAGAATCAACTGAGTTTGAGAAATGGCATGAGGTGAGCTCGAAGTCACAGGTGGCTGTGTTGCAGCTCCTCATGATTCCAGTTTCATACTTCAGCTCATCTGCTACAGTTCGTGCTTCTTCTTGGAGAACAGTGCACTTGGTTTAGGAAGCTCTGCCCCAAGCAAGAGCGTTACTGCCCTGCCAGAAGGGAAACACAGGGTGCCAGAAGTGTTTTCAGGCCTGAGGTCAAAAAACATCATTTCACTGTCTTTTAGAAGCAAGTATCTCTCAGTCTTGACGAAAACAGAAATTGTTTTGACTTGAAGGTGAAAAAAATGAATACCTTACCCCCTGAAAATTAAAGTTACAAAATACTCGTTCTTTACCAGCAACTGGCTTTTCTTTTTTATAAACTAAGTCTGGATTATTATGAAAATAGGAATTTAACAATCATGCCATTTGCCATGCGCTTTCTTACTTCTATACTGCTGTGGATTTTGTAAGCTGTAATATCCGTTTACCAGGTTTGTAAATTGGTAAGACTGTGATACAGATGATTATTTAGGTTAGTCTGATTTCTTCAGCACGCAAGACAGAATGGCCTCTGAGCCAGAAAACTACAAACTTAAAATCCAAACAGGAGACTTCTGGACATCTGCAGATTATTTTGCGTATGGGATACATATGCTGTTTCTATGGTAACACACAGAGGAGCTCTGATAGCCATTGGACACCCTGACAGTAATTTAGCAATACAGGTTTTGTTCCTTCTCTTGGTAACCAATCCCATAGGTAACTCACAGGCTACGTTCAGTTTATTGTATCACATAATGATCACATAGCAGAATAAGTTATGATGGTCACTCAGCAGGGCAATTCCACCATGGTCATCCCAGCTACTGACTGTATGTGAGAAGTGAGAACTGTCTCCAGAGTCTCAGCTGGAGAGAGAAACTACAGTCCACTGAATTATCAGAAATACTGGGCTACAAATTCTTGATCCAGTGCAAGCTATCAGCACTGCCTGTTCTGTGACACCACTGACAGAGGAAGAGCCTTAAAACTTCCCATCTGCGTTATTTTTAGGTGCAGTAACTACCCAGTGTTGGGTGTTGTCAGTCAATAGCGCCTGGTAACTGACCTTTGCAGAAGTAACTAGCCATTGCAAGTGTCTTCACTCAGGGTATCCAGCTTGAATTGCATTGATGGGGGCTGTTCTCAGATATGCTGGGAGAAAACTATCCTGTTCCAAATCAGGAAAAACAAGTAAAAAAGTGGGGAACTGGTAAGATCTGCACGGCAGCGTGGAGTTACCTGTGCTACATTGAAATAAAACTAGCATGGATGCTAGCAGCTGCCTATTGCAGCATGAAGCTCAACACGGAGAGGGAAATTCTCTGTTTCTCATTTCTGCTGAGCTCTGTGCTTTCACGGCTAGACAGCTGCTGCTCTCGGAGCTAGCCCGGGTATCGTGACACTGGCTTGCAGGCAGTAGCACAGACCCAGCCACAGAACCCAAAAGAAAGGAGTACACAGTTAGGATTTTACCAAATTAAATTAAAATTAATCGGAGCATTTCAGTTCCAGGGACCAAAATAACGAAGGAAAAAAATTGATGTGTTTGCCCGTGTTACATCAGATTTGTAACTTACCAGCAGAAGAGCCCACAGCTAGTATGATGAGCATAGCTAAGCACCACAGCAGTGTCATTTGTGTGAAACGATTTCTAACTGGCATATTAAAATTACTTAATCTGGGATTTTTTTATTACATTCATTGCACAGAAACAAGTAAATTATTTGTTCATGATAATTTAGGCTTATTCCACCAAGAGAATTTCCACAGAAATGTATCTTTCTCCTTTAGAATTTTGATATTCTTCATTGCTTTTCTGATTTTATAATTATGATCTTAAGGTTCTTTCCAACCCTAACTATTCTGTGATTAACTCTCTGAAAGCGGACTGCTGTTCTAGATGAATGCAGCTAAAGCCAGAAGCTAACTTTTGGAAGCTATTGGAAAAAGCCTTAATTTTTCTCAAGTTGTACATTAAAAAAAAGGACGTACAATCACTAGTCACTCTAGGAAGGCTTGGCCAATGTGATTACAGGAATGGCCAGGAACTACATAAATTACATTCTTTACTTACAATGCTATACAGCTGCCCTGTAACTTTAAAAAGCCTTTCCAAAAATACATACCACAGAATTGCCTGGGTCTACTGCTGCTCTCTCCTTACAAGGTTTAAACTGTGAAGAATAATCTGCATATCCAGATGTTTTCTGTTTTGCCTAGATCTTTATGTCTTACTCTACAACTTCTGCCAAGAGAGAAAGGGATCCATACTTGCTGTGGTTTGTAGTGCTGAAAACTGTAACCACGAGCTGGTCAGTTGTTTTTTTCCCTTTTGCAAAGACAGACGACTTGTACTTTCTCTAGCCTATGTCATGCTGCTAAAAGCTGTTTTACCTGTTAGACTTTTAAAGTAAGCAACACAGAAAATTTACAAAACAAATAAAGAACAAAAACTTGGATCTGAGCTCTTGAGCTCAGTAGGTACTTCTGAAAATCCCTCAGAATCCTCAAGTGCTGCAGATGACTTACTTTCATTCTCTTATTCTCCATCTTTTGGTGGTATAAATCCTGATAATTTTGGTGTTATGAGCCATCCCCCTTGCAGTTGAAGACAGAAATGATCAGAGAGGATTTGGCTAAAAGATACAATTTTTACATTACGTCAAGTGCCTTATGGTAGCCAAAACACCTCTGCATTTTATCAAGACTGTTACCACTGATGATTCTCCTAGTGCTGCAAAGCCTGCATTCATGGCACAGTGTGAAAATTCAACAAAACAAACAGAATACCCTACAGAAAGAAGCTGGCAGCTGTTTCAGAGCCAGAAAGGCCCAAAAATGCTATTCAAATGCACACTAAGCTCATTTACACACCACACCCCTTTCCTTGTAAGGTAATTCTCTGTTTATCCAGTGAATACTGGGAGCTGAGTGCCTCACACTTCTGAGCTACAGACATGTTCTCTTCCTCGCGTGCTCTGACTCTTCCTCCATTACTTATCCTGACGGCTGCAGCACAGCCCCGGCACTCCACAGGGCACTTCCTCACATGTTAAATCCACATCATCTGCTGAGTGGGGGAGCACTCCCTCCACAAGATCATCGTTCATATTCCTCTTCATAAACACATGATTTGGATGCCAGTGCACAAGAAGAGTGCCTGTCTACAAATCCCACCTCACCAGAAGGGTCTAGCATAGGACTGAACTAATGAAGCCTTGAAAGAGAATTTCAGGCCTGTTCCAAAATTAACTTCCTTGTGTTTGATGTTTAACATCGCACCCATGAACCACATCTCCACTTGATGTGGAATGAGGTGCTCCCTTCTGAACTCATGTGGTATCAGGTACCTGGGTCTCAGATGTTGCAGCACTGCCCATCAAAACACCAAGTTCCTCGGCATTAAGCCCCAAGCGTCTCGTCACATCCCCACATTTGAAACTGTTAACCACAGTATTTTGAAACACAGTGACTTCAGCTCTGAGACAGGCATCTTTTCTGTCTACATTATGCTTTATTTCAGCTAAGTATTTTAAAATGACTCAGTAAAAATGAGGCATGAGCATGACCACAGAGAATTATGAAATCAATAAAAGGTTCAGAAAAATTCTGAAGGGGTTTCAGTTGCCTACCAAAATAAAAGCCAGACACCATCTGCAATACAAAGTTCTGATTGAGGTAACAGACCAAGTGAGTACAGAGTTGATTCAGCTGACTCTGGAAGGTGGATTGGGCCTTATGAGGTCAATGGGAATTTCCCTATTGATTGCAATTGAGACTGTATTGGGTCCTGCACATTTTAGGAGGTTGCTCCATTGACCAGAAACTACAAAAATTGCATCAGAGGATGAGTGGCTTACAGGAATAACAATAAGTAAAATAAAACACCAACAGGAAATAAAGAATGAACATAAAATCGAGTCAATATGAAGGGTGGCACCACACAGACACACTGAAGAAAGTGTTTCTGTTCAAGAAGAGATGCAAGCATGTTGAGAATCAAACACATATGTAAGTACTTGCTTGAAATACGACCTAAACCTCTATTAACCCAGCAGTATACCAGATTCATTTAACATAAAATGCACATATGAAAAACCACCACAGCCTACTCAGAATGAGCTGTCATTTTCCAGTGTTACTCAAATGATGCTGTCTCCCCTCTAACACATTTAAGACTGGTAAATCTCTGTGCCTGGCCATTGGAAATGTATCAAAAGTATCTGTTTGCAAATCAGATTAGATCTCTCCTGCAAATAAGGTTTTAAATGAGTTTCTAAGTCATCCTGTTCTGACTGAGTTAGAAAAGCTCCAAAGAAGGTTATTACAGGGTATTTTCCTACTTTTTCTTAATCTAGGTAAAGTTCAGGAACACAGATAAGCAAACTAATGAAATTCTACTACATTCTAATGAGGGGGTATCTGAATCTTGCAGAGTAATGGTGTGGGGTTTGCTGTAGAACACTTCTAGCAGGCCAGCGTCTTCAGGCTGGGAATGGTTTATATTTTGGATGCCATTTATTTGTCATTGTTCTTTCTATTCACCCTCCTTCAGTAAGAGCATTTTTTTTTCTTTTGGAATGAAACTCTTGTTTTACCTCTACTGCTGTAAATCTGTGAAGTTCATGAGGTTCCTCCGGAGAGAGATGCCCAGCTCTGTCCATTGGGCATGAACAGATGTTTCAGTGCAGTGGCTCTGCAGGACTTTTGAAGGGTTTCTGAACTCTCCTTTTCTTGACTGGCATGCTCGGCAGCCTTGCAGAAGCCTGTGAATCTTCAGCGTGTTTTAGATCTGTCCTGGAAGAATAGAGCTATTTGTCTTTGCCACATTAGAAAATGGCTTGCATGCCTACATCCTGTGCAATTAGTTTATGAACCCTCTTTTGTTATTTTTGTCATGTATTTCTGTTTTCACTTCTGATGTCTTATGAATGTTGCTAACGCAATTCCTTTCTTCTGCTTTCTTCATCTTGGCTGTGCTGCGATCCTCCAAACAGCTGATGCTGAAGCATTATAAAAGAGGGTGACTCTCAGAATTGACAGAAATGACTAATGACGATAGCACAGTTTAAAGAGTCAGCATGGGGTTTTTTCCTCCAAAATGGTAACTTCAAATTGCTGTAATGTCACATATAACCAAGTATACTTCAGAAAAATCAGATGATGTAGATGTGCTTTAAGTATTCACGTTTCCTACAGGAATTTTCTATATGGCAAATTAACACTTTATGGTTTCTTTTACATGATTTTTTTTCTTTTTGTTATTTCATTTTAGGCAATCTGGGGCCATTGGGTCACGTCTGACTGGAGCTGGATGGGGTGGCTGCACAGTATCAATGGTGCCTACTGACAAGCTGAATGCTTTCCTAAAAGATGTAAAAAAAGCTTATTACCAAAGTGATGTCCAAAGGTTAGCACTGGAGAACAGTCTGTTTGCCACCAAACCTGGAAGAGGAGCTTTGGTTTTTGTTGAGGCCTGAAGAACGTAGAAACTCTGAAAGTATGTAGGGCATTCGGAACTGGCAGTACTTCCCATGCCACAGCAAATGAATGCTTTTGCTGGTTTTTATTGTAACGAGCAGTTGCTATTATCAAAGTATATTCTTGAAGAAGCGATTAAACAAACACTCTTTGATTATAAAGTCTTTTCTTTTTTCTTCCATACTAAAACTATCTTTCAGTATAAACTTTGATTTACCAAAACCTATTGATAAGGAAAAGTGAAACTGAAATAAAGATGATATTTGGCTACAGTGGATCTCTTCTCTTCTCTATTTACTGTCATAAAAGTAAGACCAGGGGGAGCAATGAGCTTTTTCATTGCAGGGCAGGAACCCTGCAATGCCTGCAGGCCTGTGCGGTGCTAATTCTCTTTGGGTGCCGGGTATTCTTTTGTTCAGAGGCCTGTAAAAATGGAAGATTAAACTGAAGCATTCAAAAAACTGGGAGGACTTTGCTAAACATGAGAAGTTTTATACTCTCCTCAAATAGGATTATTAATGTTGCAATTAATTATAATATTGGAGGAACACCTACAGGCCAAGGAAAACATTAGGAATACATTATTCTAAGCGAGAAAACTTTCCTTCCAGCTACGTGTCTGACGTATCTTTGTGCAAGGGTGACTTGTTATGAAAGTTTCAACAAAAACAAATGCTGTGAGCTGTGCAGGATGAGAACATATTCCCCTAAGTGAATGAACAAATAATGAGGCAGAGTTTGGTTTTGAGTTCTCCAGACACAGTATTCTGATGGTTGCGTCCTATCTGTGCTTGTACAGGGTAGAGTATTTGCATTTTCATGAAGAACTTACAAAGGACTAATATAACCCACTGAGGATGTAAAGAAGCAACTAAAATCAATAAGGAATAATTAAGGAGATAATTCAGTTGTGCCAAGCAAAAGTAAATGGGCAAGACCAAGAGCAAATGTCATTGACATGTTACGGACAAGCTCCTGTCTCAATCCCACTTTACACTCCTGAATCTCAAGGTTGCAGCTGCAGAGCATTGGAATACAGTGCCTGCAATCCATGACACATCTCTTGAACAGGGGGAATGATGGTGATAACAGAAAGGTGACTGTACCTCAAGATACCAAACGATGCCCAAACTCTATTTCCAAGGGGAAGGTTAGGGACCTGTGCCCTCTCCCACAGCCAAACAATTTCCACTTCTCTGATACCCAACATAAAAACCAAAGAGAAGTTGTGTGAGTGTCACAACCCTTGCAGTCATTAGAGACACAGCAAGATTTGTCCCTCTGCACATTTTTGTGATGCTAAGCACAAGCTAATGTTCGGAAGTCTGCATCAAATTAGAGATCTCTCAGCAGAGATCTTCTGTACATTACCCACGCTAATTCCGGCCAAAACCAGATTCTTAGAGGCTACTAATTCTGCAAGAGGTCTCTGCCAAATCTGAGCACAGCAGATGAACAACAGCCAACACAAACTGCCAGATCTTTTCAGGAACCTCAGAGGGACATGTAATGGTAACACTATCACTACAGAAGATTCCTGTTGTCTGACAGCCAGGAAAAGTGGAACAGTGAGTGCTGTAGATAAGCAAATCAACTCCTCAGGAGAGGAAAAGTATAGGGTCTAGGCATAGACACAGGGAAGATGAGAAGGATTTGGAGGGGGGACAGTTAAAGGATGCACTTGAGAAGGGGAAAGCAAGGGATAAGCAAGACAGTCAAGAACAAGAGGTGCAGTTATAGGAAGGTTTATTCTCAAATCATTATTGCTATCTGTGGAAATTCAACATCTTGTAACCCTTTTGTAATGTATAGTAGATATGCCCTAAGTTCAACTAAACCTGTAATCACAGAACTCTAACAAAATCAAACAAGAAGAAGTAAGTATTTTCAACAATCTTGAAGAAAACCTTAGAGATTGTAAGTAAAATAATGCCATGGTTTTGTTACAAATGGCTTTATTAAATACAATCTTCAGCTTAACTGAGTTCCTGTTTAATATCACAACACACAGCCATGGAATCTTCCCCAGCACATGCAGGCTGCAGTACCTTTCAGAATATTTCTGTCAATTAATGTTATAAATAGATAATTCTCATACACAAAGAAAAGGAAAACAGAAAACTGGCACAGTATAAAAGAATCATACAGAACATTCTAAATGTCTGATTCATTTCTTTCCTTTTTTATTGCTTGAATGCCTTCAATGTCTCTTGTATTGCTTCAATTTAATGAATCTGGGTTTGGGGTTTTTTTTGTTTGCTTTTTAAACCTTTGAAGAAGTTTTCTACATAATGGTAAACCCCCCTGATAATTAGAGCATGAGAAAAACACACCAACAACGTGTAAGGTAAGCAGCAAGGGTATTAGTAGTACTCCTAACAATAAAGCAAGATGGTCTTGGTTTGGATGAAAACTTCTGTGTATAAAGCAGCAACTCCTAAGCATATTTCCTGAGTTAGTCTTTCCAGAGCTGTACTTTTAATAGCTTTTTCTAACTATCTTTTCAAAATCTCTTCTGTAGCTAAAATAATGCTAATTGGTATATAGAACCACAGATAGCATTGTTTAGGTTGGAAAAGACCTTTAAGATCACTAAGCCCAACCACTAACCCAGCACTGCCAAGTCCACAACTAAACCATGTCCCTAAGCATCACATCTACCTAATCTTTTATGTATCTTCAATATTTCCAGGGATGGTGACTCTCCCACTTCCCTGGGCAGCCTGTTCCAATGCTTGACAGCGCTTCTGGTGAAGAAATGTTTCCTTATCTCCAATCTAAACCCCCCCTGGCACAAGCTGAGGCCGTTTCCTCTTCACTTGTTACTTGGGAGAACAGAACAACACCCCCCTCACTAAAACCTTCTTTCAGGTAGTTGTAGAGAGCAACAAAGTCTCACCTAAGCCTCTTTTCTCCAGACTCAACACCCCCAGTTTTCCCTCAGGTGCTCAAGAGAATTGTTCTCTAGATCCTTCACCAGCTTCACCATCCTCTGAACACACTCCAGCATCTCAGTGCCTTTCTTGGAGTGAAGGGCCCTTGTTACTTCTCTGAGCATCAAAAGCTCTTACCATTTTGTGATCGCTATGCCCAAGAGAGCCTCCAAACATCACAACACCCACGAGCCCTTCTCTGTTCCCAAACAACAGGTTCCATCCCTAGTTGGCTCTCTCACCAGCAATGTCAGGGGTTTCTCTGACATGCTCCAGGAACCTCCTGCACTGTTTCCTCACTGCTGTATTGTATTTTCAGCAGGCAGCTGGTAAATTGAAGTCCCCCATGAGAGCAAGGGCTAGCGATTGAGAGACTTCTCCCAGCTGCTTATAGAATATTTCATCTGCCTCTTCATCTTGGTTGGGTGGTCTGTAAGAGACCCACCATGATACCTGCGCCTTGTTGGCCTTCCCCCTGATTCTTATGCATAACTCAATCCTATCATCATCTTCATTGAGCTCCAGACAAGCAAAACACTCCCTAATACACAGTGCAGACCCACCGCCTCTCCTTCCTTGCCTATCCCTCCACAAAAGTTTACAGCCATCCATTGCAGCACACGCACACACATGTATATTTGGAAACCTAATGACATTAAATGTCAGAACATATGCAGAGGCAATGCATCCAGTCAGCATGACCTATTATCATCAATGAGGTGTGATTTTATCTTACTATAATGTCTGATTGTAAGTCATTCAATCACGATTTTAATCTTACTGTGCAGTAAATGGGTTCTAAATCTTTCCAAAAGGTATTTGGAATGGAGGTACTGTTAGACATCTAAGTGCAGCAACATCGCCTGGTGCCATATTAATACTCTGTATTATCTTAATCCCATTGACATGTAGTCTTCATCACTGTACTTGATGACTGTGTATCTTGTACACAGGAACATGCTCATGCTCCAAAATAGAACAAGAGTAATTTTACCATTCACCTGACAGGAGAGGATCACTACTGTATATTTGACATTTGCTGTCTTGGACACAGTGCACATACACACAGAGACACACACATATGGCAACCTAATATATAGTAGTTACTTACATAACATCTTCAGGAATATGGGTTTCTCATTCATATGATCTGAATGCCAATTTTTATTTTAGTAACTGCTGTGCACTTACTCAGTATAAACCTTCTGAAATTCCTCTCTGAGTCCATGTGTCTCTTTAATAACACTTTGATATGTTGGAGCAACTGCTGTGCCACAGATCCAGTCAAGTGAAAGATTTGCATCTTCATCTAACTACAGTGTATTTGTGTCCTAAATCCCAATCAGATACAGTTAAACAAATATAGACACAGAATAAGATTCACAAAAAGCTATCTAGCTGGTTCTAAAAAAAAGATACTTTGTAAATCATAGCTGTTATGGGCAGGACTGAATTAGTGCTTTCTGATTCTTGTGATTGTATGCTTCATCAAGAAAAATGAACGCTATAAAATGACTTACACTGCAAAGTAACAATAGCATGAAAACAGACTGGTAAAGCTTAACATTGTGAAACCTGTGAATCATGCCTCATATGAAATCATATTTTAAATGCTAATTTCGAGATGGAAGGCTAGCTATTGGTAACAGACCAGTTCACAGTGTAGAAAGGAGCACACTGGGGAACATTAACTGAAAATCATTCTCTGTTATACAGCCTTGTTTGACAGATTTTTCCCAGCTCACACAAGATTGGCAGAGAAAGCGCTGTCAAGCAATATTGCTGTCACATCTGTCCTACCTCAGCTCTTCAGTGTGGCCAGCTTTTTCATTGAGCACTCTTCTGATATTCAATATCCCATAAAATAGAGACAAAAGATTAATTCTGTTCTTGATCTTATCTCTTATTCTCCACCCTCTGCTTTTAGACTTGTGTCAGAAGTAATTAACTATGAGATTCTGCAAGATACCACATCACAGCCTCCAGTAACAACACCATGTTTACCAGGAGACAGAATCAGCCAAGGTGCTGATGGTGGAGAGAACTTAACCTCCTCTGTAATCTCTCATACTTCAGTAGGGCTGCAATACTCAGTCTAACTAAGGTAGTAGGACCAAGCTGTAATTAATGAACAGCTTTTGGAGCCCCTAAATCCTCTGCAGATTTGGTCACCGAGTTCAGCAGAAGACGGAGTTACCTTGAGTGACAGTTTGCACATATAACTGATGCACCCAAAATCTCACATGTAATTAAAGCACTCGTGCCAAATTTGTCACAACGTAAGCTCTAGTAATGGAAAACTACAGAGGAGTAAAAAAATACTGAAGCTAATCAGATGA